AATTCTAATCAGAAAGAGCAATGCTGGAGTTATCATAAGACCCGATCTCAAATTATACCACAGAGCCGTGGTAATGAAAACAGCGTGGCCCTAGCACAAAAACAGACACGTAGGCCAATGCCACAGAATAAAAGACACTGATAACTCTCAGAGCTGCAGCCACTAACTTTTGACAAATGTGTCAAAAATATGCATTGGAGGGCCAGCAAGATGGTTCTGGGAGTAAAAGCTCTTGCCACATAAGCCTGACCACTGTCCAACTCTGGTGCCCACAGAAAAGGCAGATGGGAGCAGCATCTGTAATACCAGCACTCCTGGGGGATGTGAGGCAGAGGAAGGAGCATCACCAGGAAGCCAGGAACAGGCAGGGGAGCAGAAATAACAAGAGTGGCCTTGTACAAGGTGGGAGAGCTGATATGCAAAAGGTTATTCTGTCTCCCCCCAGACACTGCACAATAGTTTTATTCAGCCATACAGAAGCATGAAATAATGCCATCTGCAGGGAAATTGAAGGAACTGGAGGTCACTACATGAAGACAAGTCAAACTCAGAGTGTGCAAAGGAGTGTTGCCTATTTTTTATAATTGGAATCCAGTTTTAAACGGAAGTGTAAACATGCAGATGATATGAAAGTAGGAGGGGTGTGTGAGGGGTGCGATAATTTAAAGACCATTAAATAAATAAATAAGCATAAAGCAGAATCCCTGGGTCCCACAGGAACACACATCCACCAATGGGCAGAGAGACTGACCCAGAAGCGTAGTCTAAGATGCCATGCTGCTATTCGGATCCCTTCACTTGCTCGTGACCTAGCTGTATGACACTGGTTGCTGAATTCACACATCCCCTGCTTTCCAGAGAATGGACCTGATGAATGAGCTGCTTTCCTTGAGGAATAGCCAGTGACTTCATGAGAAAGAATCACAATGGCCAGTCACTTTATCTCTGAGAGACATCTACCATGCAGTCTGTGCTGCATCACTACATCTTCCAGATCAGACCCTGGTGCAGACCTGACACCACTTCCTGCCTGGCTCCTTCCCCATCCCTCGCCTATGGGCTTTCCTCCCCCACCAGCCTTTCCTGAAGGGTACTCTGCAGAACATCGCATGTCTTCAAACTACAGCTGCTGAGATCCTATAGGCTGCACAGGATGATTCAGGGAGGGCACGTCAGCAGCTTGTCCCTGACCCCAAAGCCATCCTATGTGCCTGCAGGAGCTCAAAGCCATTTTGAAAGTGTAGCCACCATGGGGTCTAAAGACTGAGCCCAACTCCTGAGGACATTGCTTAAACTCTAAGATTCAGGCAAAGCCTTATTCTGTACACACACATTTTTGTTTGTTTATTTGTCTTAAACCATTTTGATTTTGTTAGGGTGGACTGACAGGCATATTTGTGTATCCTGTCCCTCTGGGAACCTTGCTTTTGAACAGCTGCAAGGGACAATATGGACCACTCACAGACATGGAGATAGGACATGCAGGATCTTGATATGCCCTTAAAATGACCCAAAAGGAGAGGTGGCTGTATCTAGTACTATGCTTTTAATTTTTTCACTTTAGAAACTCTGGCATCCTCATTTTTAAAGTGGTGGATAACC